TTACTCCGGTCGTGCAGAACCGGATTCTTCGCGAGGGTGATGGCGGGCTGGTTGTCCACCATCAGTGCTGGTGGGTGAGCTTCCATGCCGGTCAGCTCGCCCAGCAGCCAGCGTAGCCACATAACTTGACACGCCGCTGTGGCCACCGCTACGTATTCTACCTCGCACGTAGACAACGCCACCACCTTCTGTTTCAGAGATAGCCATGAAATTGGAGCCGACCCGAGGAAGACGATCACGCTAGAGGTGCTCCGTCGTTCGTCGATGTCCCCCGCCATGTTTGCATCACTGAACACAATGAGCTGCAGCCTACTCCTACCGGTCTTTGGGAAGATGATCCCCTCATCTACCGTCTCCTTGACGTAGCGTAGTAGCCGCTTCACCATAGCCCAGTGATCCTCTCTGGGATCCTCCATGAAGCGACTGACATAGCCCACGGCGAACGCAATGTTCGGCCTCGTGTGGACTAGGTAGCGAAGACCGTCGATGATGCTCTGGTAGAGTGTTGCATCCACCTTCGCCGTGGTGCTGGCCTTCGTCAGCTTCAGCCGCTCCTCTATCGGAGTCACGCATGGCTTGCACTCAGCCATGCCGCTCCTTTCCAACAGCTTGGAGGCATACGCGCTCTGACCGAGCATAAGTTTCTCCTTCCCCTGTCCCACCTCAATGTCGAGGTAGTAGGAGAGTGCGCCGAGATCGCTCATTCGAAAACGAGCCGCCCTCTCGCGCTTGAAGCCGTTGATGTCCTCCGTGCGCATGCCAGTGACGATCAAGTCGTCCACATACATGCTGACAACGAGCTCCTCCTTCCCCCATCGCCACGTGTAGAGCGCGTGCTCGGTTGCGCACCGTTGAAACCCAAGCTCGTCCAGCATGGCGTCAAGCTTGGCGTTCCATGCTCGTGGAGCCTGCCGTAGCCCGTAGAGCGCCTTGCGCAGTCGAAGTACCCTGTGATCCTCTCCCTTGATGGCGAAACCTGGAGGTTGCCTGACGAAGACCGTCTCCGCCAGCTCGCCATTGAGGAAGGCCAATTTAACGTCCAAGTGATGGACGCGCTAGTTCTTTGCTACTGCCAAGGCTAGTAGCAAACAGACCGACTCCATGCGCGCTACTGGCGCAAAGACCTCCTCGAAGTCTATGCCCTCGCGCTGAACAAAGCCTCGGGTGATGAGGCGCGCCTTGTGCTTAACAATGGCGTCGAGCTCATCTCGCTTGACCTTGTACACCGACTTCAGGCTGATCGGATGGCATCCTGGAGGTGGATCGACGAGCTGCCATGTCTCATTTTCCTCGATCGCCTTCATCTCCTCCAGCATCGCCCGTCGCCAGTTTCCGTCCCGCTCGGCTAGCGCGAACGTGGGTGGTTCCTCTGCACTGACAAGCAGTAGCTCTGCTTCATTGAGAAGCCGACCAGCCAGTCCTGAGGGTCCTATGCCGCCGACGATGTCGTCCAGCCTATGAAACCGCACCTCCTCACCTTCGTGGAAGGCATCCACGAATTCAGTGATGCCACTTGGAGGTGAGGCGAACTCGATCGGCGTCGATGGACTTCCCTGTTCCGCCGGAGTGCTCGGCATAGCACCTTGAGTGCTCGGCACCCTTGTTGCAGTGCTCGGCACTACTTCTGGATCGCTCGTCATAACTCCCGCAGGCAGTGTTCGGCCACACTGTAGGAGTGCTCAGCCTCAGTCTTGGAGTGGTCGGCACCACTGCAAGATGTCTTGGCTCCACCACGGGAGTGCTCGGTACCCGTCCCGGGAGTGGTCGCCACCACCGTAGAACCTCCCGGCGTCACTCCTGGCGTGCTCGGCATCGCTCCCTGAGTGCTTGGCACTCCTCCCTGAGTGCTCGGCATCCCTCCCAAAGTGATTGGCACTGCCCCAGGAGTGCTCGACGCTCCTCCCGGAGTGCTCGGCACCTCTTTCCCAGCGTCTCCACCACCATGGATGACCAAGTGCTCGACAACGAAGGTGCTGGTGAAGCCGCCAGCTTCCCCCGTGCTCGGACTGGTCCAGTCCCAAGCCGCCTTCTCATCGAACACGACGTCGCATGAGACAAGCACCTTGTCTCCGCGTGGGTCGTAGAGCCGGTACGCCTTGGTACCCTCCGCGTAGCCTAGGAACACCATCGGTGTGCTCCTGTCCTCCAGCTTGGTGAGGTTCGGCTTCGTCTTCCTGACATAGCCGATGCAGCCAAATGTTCGGAGGAAGGACATGCTCGGCTTGCACCCATACCAAGCTTCGAACAGCGTCTTGCCCGTCAGGGCCTTGGTCGGAGAGCGGTTGAGGATGAACACCGCCATGGTCACCACCTCCCCCTAGAACATTGCCAGCATACCTTTGGCCTTCATCATGGATCGGGCCATGCCGACCACCGCCTGGTTCCGTCTCTCCACCACACCATTCTGTTGTGGCGAGTACGGCGTGGTGTGGTGTTGCCCCACACCCTGATCTACACAGTACGCAGCGAACTCCACCGAAGTGAATTCACCGCCGCGATCAGTTCTCAGCACGCGGAGCTTCTTGCCGCTCTCAGCCTCCACGCGCATCTTGAACTTCTTGATCACCGCCGCCGCTTCGTCCTAGCTCATCAGGAGTTATAGCCATATGTAGCGACTGCAATCATCCATGAGCAGGAGGAAGTACCGCCGACCACCATTTGTAGCAGGCGTGATCGGCCCACAGAGGTCGTCGTGAACGAGCTCGAGAGCGTCCTTCACGCGATACTTGGCCGCCTTTGGGAAAGGTAGCCTACTCTACTTTCCAGCCAGGCAGCTGTCACACAGCTCGCCTCCATGCTTGATGTGGAGTAGCCCTCGGACCATCTTCTCCAGCCGACCAAGCGCGTCAAAGCTAAGATGTCCGAACCGGGCATGCCACATCCACAATTCCTCGGTGTGCCTTGCCGCCAGGCACACCGGCTGCTCTACCTTCAGGTCGAGCAAGTACAACCGGTTTAGGGACCTCTTCACCTTGGTGAGAAGTCACTACTCTCAGTCCCTGACCCTAAGGACTCCGTCCTTGATCAGTACCTCGCTACCACGCTCATCCAGCTGACCAATGCTGATGATGTTGGAACGTAGCTATGGGATGTAGTATACATCCGTTAGTGCGCGGTGCTCCCTGTTCTGGCACCTGAAGATAATGGTGTCGCGTCCTTAGATAGCCACTCTTGAGCCGTCACCAAACTTCACCGTACTGGTAACATCATCGTCGAGCTTGGAGAAGGTTGCCTTGGAGCCTGTCATGTGGTTGCTGGCACCAGAGTCCAGATACAACCGTTGCTCCTGGTCGGCGCCCACACGTCCGAGGTGAACTTGGGCGCGTGGTTCGTCGAGGTTGACAGTCTTCAGGGCCTTCCTAGGTCCTTCCACCGTCGTCGCCTCTTCCTTCTCCTCGGCCTCGACGTCGTGCAGTGCACAGAATATCGCCATCAGGATAGTGGCCTCATTCTCATCATCGGCTTGCGCCAGGTGAGCCTGAGCCTTCTTTTCCTGCTTGCGGTTTGGGCACTCCCATGCCCAATGGCCCATCTTCCCGCAACGCCGGTAGGCGTTGGGGTCGACCTGCTTCTTCTCCGAAGAAGCCTTGCTGCGGCGCTTGCCATCGCCACCGCGGCTGGTGGAGGCTGCCTTTTCGGAGTTCCTTCGAGCAGCCCACTCCTCTTCCGTCAGTAGGAGTTTTCTGCTATCCTTTGTTGCTGTCGCCTGCTCCAGGCGCTCGTCCACCGCCCGCAGCCGGCCTGTCACATCCTCAATGGTGAGGGTGGACAAGTCTAACATCGTCTCTATGGAGAGAGCGATCTGGATGTACTTTGCCAGCACAGAGTGGAGGTACTTGGAGACCGCCTCCTCTTCGTCGATGGTGACGCCATGGCTCTTCAGCTTGCTGATGAACGTCTACAGGCGGAGGGAGAAGTCCTTCACTGTTTCACCATCCTTGAACTTGAGGTTGGCGTATTCCTGCTTCAGAAGCTGGGTCGTCGCCTTCTTTACGCTGTCGGAACTGACGCGCATCCCCGCAATAGCCTCCCACGCCTCCTTAGCCGAGCTCTTCACCCTCAATGGCTCCCTGTACTCCACCGTTACAGCAGCGAGGATAGCCTCCAACGCTGACATGCCATCTTCTTCATTGTCGGTGCCCTTGTCAACAGCATTCCAGAGCCATCGGGCTCTGAGCTTGACCTTCATGGTCACCGACCACTCTCCATAGTTGGTGAGAGTCAGCGTCGGCCAATTGGTGTCGCTGACCTCCCGCGCCGTGCGAACAACGACCTCCGGTCGTGGCTAGGCAGCCACAGTAGTGCCACTGCTGTCGCCCATCTCTGAACCGCCCGTCATCGCCAGCGGTTAGTCTGGCGACAGCGCTTGTACGGCTTCGATACCACTTGTTGGCCCACAGGATCACCGGCTCAGCCACTCATCAGTCTTGCCGAGCATCCGCTAGTGTTGCTGAGCACCCACTAGCCGTGCCGACCATGAATAAGCGTTGTCCGTCCCCACGCACTATGGCTAGAGCTTGAAGAAGAGGGAGAACAGAGCATACACACATAGTATAAGACATCAGTGTTGGCCGAAACCCTATATGGGAGATGGCAAATATAAACTCTATTTACTGAATTGCCATGGTAGTCTATTTATACAACTCTATCCATCTAGTCCTAGTACAGTGCACATGCTGTAACAGTAACCAGATAACATACAGGGCTGACTCTGCGCCGCCTCTGCATGTGGCTACAGTGCTGCAGGTGAGCCGTGCGGCGCCTGCACCTGCACCTATCTAACAAACATCAGAATCATGTGGTGCAGCTAAGCCTCGAAGAATTACTTGTTCACCATTAAGTGGGAAGGAAAGCCACTTAGACTTCCAATGAACTTTCATCGTACTATGCAGCTCAAGCCAGTCTATTCCCAATATGAGGTCATATGATTCCAAGGGAAGAACCCGGAGGTCATGCTGAAATATGTGTTCGCCCAAATGAAACTGGCAACCCAGAATAACCTAGGTGCAACGCAACAGGTGACCGTTGGCCACCTTCACTGATGATGCCATGGGTGTACGTTGGAGTTGAGGTAACTGATCAGCAACCGAAGCTGCCAAAAACGAAGCAGAACTGGCCGAATCCACCAACACAGCAACTGAATAGCCAAGAATAGTTCCCTGAAACTGAATAGTCCGGTGTCCGTGTGCACCGCGCTGAGCATCATGGGAAAGGGCCAAAAAGAGTTGTTCGGATGGGGCTTCCGGAGACTCTTGTTCAGGTTCCTGTGACTCCGAGAAAGCTTCCAACTGAAATAAATCCCAGATTTCCTGCATTGCATGTAATGGGATAGCTGCAGCACACTTGTGACCCCGGAACCACTTTTCAGCACAAACATCACATAAGCCAAGAGCGCGTCGATATGTGCGCAATGCAGAGAACTTGTCTTCTGGAGCTTGTGGGGTTGCCTTGGCCACGGGCTTCTCGCCAGGAACAGCTTGTGGCGGAGGCGGCCGAGGCAAAGGCATGGCCGCCCGAGGGGCCCCCTTGAAGCTTGCTCCACGGTCAAATGCGTGGAATTCATTCTTCCTTGATGGTTCGCCCAATTCTTCCTGCAACAAGGCGAGCCTATATGCAGTATCGAGGTTTTGTGGCCGTTGTAATGCAACAACAATGCGAATGTCATTCCTAAGACCATCCACAAAACGGGTTGTGTAATAGTGCATATCAGGATTGGGCTGGTAGGCTTTGAGTTGGTCGAAGAGTGTAGAGAAGCGACCAACTCAAATCGACACCCTTCGACCAACTCAAATCGAAGACAATTGATATCAGAGAGAGTGTCAACATGATCGAAGAGTCAATCTTTGGAGTCCCAAATATCCTATTTTCTCGATGTAAGCAGGATGCGTAGACAGCAGGATAGAATCAGAACAAGATAGCAAGCAAGCACGAAGTATAGATCGGAGGAGTTCGATTGGAGCAGAAAAGTGCTTGGGAAATAGGTTGATTACAAATTGTTCTCAATGATACCCTCTCTGCTCTCGCAGTCTCGCTACGGTGAACATATACTACTCGACTACGGCACTTCTCTCTTACAGCTGTAGTGGGCTCACTCCCATTCCAGGCCATGGACACGGGTACTGGGCCGCCTCTCACGTGCGCTTCTTCTTAGCCCATCCTGCTGAACGATGCCGTGCTCGTCTTCACCAATGCCAGAGCCGGCATCCGTTGCTGGTGTGGCCGATCTGCTGACAATTTATAGTGCTCCAAACATGCATTTGTTCATTATCTTAACAGCACGTTGTGGTGGTGTACAGTTGACAAGTTCATTACACACTCAAGTGGAGAGTACTATATAAGTAGAAAATGGTGCTGATTTTACGATATGTGATTAGCATACTTCAATTCAATCAAGAAGTAAACACAAGTGCTTAATTGGATCCCATATGTAGATCGAAGCTTCAGGGGAAAGAGTTTGGTCCACGCACTTGATGGTTTAAACAACCATATATATATGAGGCCAAAATAAATGCGAGATCGTTAGTAATGATACGTACATTTATTAAACATTGTATCATTCCTTGTTAGCTAAATTGCCCAGCAAAGAGTAGTAGCCCCAGTCAATAAGGACCGCTTCGTGTTCAGTAATCAGCACAGTTTCTTCAGTTGTAGTAGTATCCATCGCATCTGAAAAGTCAAAAATCGAAATTCAAATAACGTATGAGCGTATGCGAGGTTCTGCCTGGTGTGCTGCCTACCATGATCATGTAACTCAAGTTTTACCCATCTAGTTTTACACATGTACTATAATATATACAATAAGAAACTTGTTACCTTACCATAGAATTATTTTCAGCCTTGTGATCTAAGAAGAATAAACTATTGGTAATCATTTTAGTGGGACGTCTCCTTTCTTCTCTTTCTGTCGCACTGACAGAACGCCGCATGCACCTGCGGGAAGGGTCTCGACGTCACCTCCAGCCTGCAGGGTCTCACTAGAGTCTAGAGCTAGCTGCTTGTTCGGAGATCACCGCCGCCCACTACTAGAAAGTCTGCGGGAAGGGCCTCGCTACCGCCTCCCGCCTGCAGGGGACTCATTGGCGCCGGTTGCCTATCCGGATTCCGGAGATCGCTGCCATCGCCTCCAAAAGCCACTGACCATTTGTAGGAGTAGGGGCCTAATGCTCGCATGCCAGTATGCCACCACTCGCCTATAGGGATCACCACCAGCTGCTTGCAGGAGCTCTCCACTGACCGTCTGCAGGGGCCTGCAGCTAAGGGCTTCACCAACGCTGCAGCATGAGGAAAGCGTTGGTTTCATCTGACAACCGGTGCAGGCAGCGATCGGAGCGTGCGATGCTCCATCCCACGAGACCACTTTGGATTCCCGTGCTATCTCCCACCGTGGGTCACTCCTAACCTCTCACCCTCGATAGAGACCACAAGGGGAGAGGCCGAGGGTTTCCCACAGGAAAGCGAGTGTGTGAAGCGAAGGTATCCCATAGGGAAAGCAAGAAATAAATGCGGATTAATTGCTCATTAAATTATAAAAATGGACTTGCTCTATACACAATGGCTAAGGGTAATGAGGTAATCCTCCGTATCCTTAGCCAACCACTCCTAAACCTAACCGGGCACGCAGGGCGGCCGCCGCCTCCTTGTGAAGGTGTGCCCACGATCCTTGGCGGACCTTCGCCGTTCCGGCTTGGGGCTCTCCCCTTAACTGGCGGTCTTGGATCTTCCTCCACCTTTGTTGAGCCTCGAGTCGAACCCTGCATATAGCACCTGAAAAGGGAGGGATCGGGAGAGAAAAAAACCCCTTGCCGTGGGGGTTACGGCCCGCTGCGAGGCTGGTCACAAGGTCCGGAACGAGGGCCGGGAGACAGGCAGGGGTCAAGCTGGAGTTGGCTTCCCCCAACACCCACGACTAGCACGAAACCCCGGTCCTTGTGCGCCCATTTCTCATCCACGGAAAGGAATAAAGTAGTGACGCGCCTTCTAAGGCAGCCCGCGTTGAGACTTTTAGGAGCCAAAACCATTTAATGCCTATGTGGCCTGTAGCTTTAACATGCAGCCTACACCACTTGTAGCCCGCGTCGAAGAAGCCCTAAACCGCTTGGCCGGAAGGGGCTCGGCAGCCTGCCTTCTCTCATCACCGATCTTTTGTCAACTTGTCGTCTCCGACCTGTTGCCTGCCTGCACTTCTTCGGCCTCCACACTTCATACACCTATGGGCTATGGCCAGGTAGACAACATAGCCTTTGTGTGAAGCCCATCTGAAGTCTCACACATTCTTCAGATGTACTGCCTTCCTCCCTAAATAATTGTTATTTTTTTTTTGTTTCCGTGCCATAAATTTGACTAGATTTATAGAAAATGCATGCAACATTTGTATTTCCAAATAAACTTATTACGAAAATAGATTCAACGATTTACCTAATGATATTAATTTTGTACCATAAATATTAATATTTTTTATATATTTAGTTCAAAGTTGTTTATTGGGAAGTGAAAACGACAGTTATTTAGGGATGAAAGGGGTACCAATTGACGTCGAGGCCATCCAAGATGTCTCCGCCAACTGCATTAAAGATCTGGTGATCGCATTTTGCATAGTTTATGTTTGTACAATCACTACAACTTGAGGAGGGCATTGACAGAGATATGATTTGTCCTAGGTTCACAATGATTAAGTTACTTTAGGTTCAGCATTTACTAAAGTAGCATATGCATTTGAACACCCCGTTGATTGCATCCAGAATCTCAAATGAAATGGTGCATATCCCCGTTGCTGGTGTGAGTATTTTATTTTATTCAGAAGTTATCAGTATAGAAGCATGATAAATTCTTATCATGTAAGTTATTAGACATTATAGAACAAAGTACAAATTGCCAGTATGGTTTGAACAAGTATGCAATTTACGCGGGCGAGGGAACAAGAATCTGTCCCCTTAGGATCTATTATCTGTTCACAGTCATGTTGATCTGTCCCATCAAATAATATTACACTGCAAATAATATTGATGAATTAGTTATTGGATCTGTGAGAGTGTCAATTATAATTTAGTACTCTAGTACTATTAAATTGATTCAGTATGCATTTGTATATGCCAAAGAATCAGCTAATCCATTGGCCTGCGGAAGCGTTGTAGTGTGACTTGTTGCTAAGCCGGAAGCGGCACAGTAGTAGTTCGTTATGGTCATTGTGGTAAACAAAATGAAAAATGGAACAAGTACGAAATTTATTAAATATTTGAATAGTGTATTAATCTTTTTAAGTGCTGGTCATTTATTATTTGTGTAGTAACTCTTATCATAACAACATGTAAGATGAAGGAAAAGATGGTTGATCTGAGTGAAGAGGCTATTGGATTATCATCAAGAAATTGTTAGCAAGACACATTTCATAGCTAGGAAGAAGGTCATGGGTTCTACAATAGCTATTGTTTGGACACTACAAGAGATATGACCTTCTACAACGATTTTCTCACGACGACGGCCAAATTTGTCGCTAAGTCATTGTATTTTACGACGTCATTTGGTGGGTGTATGACTTTGTGACGAAAATTCTGCGTCTGTCACTAAGATCTAGAAGAAGTCGCCGTAAACGGAAGAATTTCCATATTACGACGAGTTGCAATTTGTCATGGCATGGTACCGGAGAATTGTCACAATTTATTATTTGAGTTTTAACATGATAATCTCAACTCCACGTATAATATATTGAATTACAATTTATGATTTGAATTTTAACATGATAAGCTCAACTCCATGTATAATATTTTGAATTACAATTTTTTAATTGTCCAAACTACCTTAGATGGATAGATGACCAAAACCAAATGTTCTATATCTCGATGAGATAAAGGATGTCTAGAAAAATCAATACTAAAGGAAAGTATCATTTACTCAATCTCAAATGACTTTGGCGTGGTGTGGTTAGGAGAACTACATTCTAGGCCACAAATTAGAGGTTCCATTTCAATATTTTTTCTTTTTTATTCTCAAATTTTTCTAATTTCACAAACATTTTTTTCTTTTCCATCCTCAATTTTGTCTATTTTAAGAAACTAGCCCATTAGGCCCAACTACAGTCTCACCGAACCCTAGCTTGCTGAATCCCCAAAATTTCATCCACCACCACCACACTCGCTTCTTCTCCCGTGGTCCTGCCGACGCCCCGCGCTCCCTCTCTCTCCCGATGAAAGCCACCATGCTCGCTACTTCTCCCGCCGACGCCGCACGCTCCCTCTTTCTCCGGATGAAAACTATCTCCAAAATTTTCACCTGCCGCCATCTTTTTCTCTCCCGCTGCCTCCGCGCTCACTCTTTCTTCTCCCGCCGATGTCTCGCGCTAGCTATTTCCCCTGATTCCACATCGCTGCTACTCACTCTGCCGGACTCGACACAGCAGGCGTCGCCTCCCAGGCTCCCAGGACGCCGACTCCGCCGGACCACGACTTCCGGGCGTCGCTCCCCTAGGCCCTGGCTCCTCACTCCGCCCGCTTCACGTCGAGTCACACGCAGCAGGCGCCGTCCGTCAGAAGCTACGACCCCCCCCCTCGTTCCCCCCTCCAGAAGCCGCGACCCCCTCCCCCAACTCAAGGTCAAAGCACCATGGCTCCTGGTCGGAAGGTGGGAGCAAGCAGATAGCAACCAACATATAAACTCATGAATATGAGGAATTAATAAGTCGATTTCCCTTCTGTTCCCCACGTTTAGCCTCTACTTTGGTCTGGGCACCACAAAAAGAATAGACTAAGATCATGTTTAGTAGGTAACTGAGCAGATCAATTTTGTTTTTCCCTTCTACTTTTGTCGCTTGTTAGGTGAACCAGAGTACTAGAGGTCTGTAGACATTCTTTTTATCTACAATTTCAGTAGTGCAGAGGTTGGATATCTCAGAAGTCATGGAATTTCGAAGTTGTGTTGTAGACTCTCTCAGATCTGACTGAATATTTTGTAGCCTGGATTAAAAATAGTGGACCGAAGTAATTTTTGTGGTGAATACAAAAGTTGTAGGAATTTTATGTAGATGTTTTTTATTGGGAGCATATTTTTAAAACTGCATACAGGCATCTCAAATATTTTAGAACTGCAAACTGGCATATCCTGGAAATGATTTCTAGAATGACAGACAGTGCTCAGTCACTTTTGCAATGACAAAGAGGGTGTTGAATCATGTTCATGTTCCTGACTGCTTCGTATGCTGAACAGATAGTCTCATTGTTCCTACAGTGACTTTAGTTTGGCTTAGATAAATCAATCTATTTTTGTTGAGGATACTATTTTTGTTGTTTCATTTCTTACTCTAGCTGTGTAGTTAATCTTAAGCTGATTAATACCTTCTATGATTTATTACAATGTATAGTATCTCCTTAGATTGATTAATACAATGAACCTGATAATATACAATGTCCCATCAATACAATGAACCTATAGTTTGCAGCAGCAGCAGCATAGTTTGTGCAAAGTTTGCTGCAATTTTGTAGCAGCAACCTGCAGCAGCAGCAGCAGCATATATTACAGTTTGGCTTTCTAGATGATGTCCAACAAAGATGCTAGAGAGCCTGTCTAGCAGCAACAACATACAGTTAGCTTATCTCTGTAATCCAGCAGCAGCAACAAAGATTCTAGAGCTTGTCCAGCAGCAGCATATATGTAATAGCCTTTTAAATAGATGAATGATTAGGTAGCTAGGTTAACTAAATTCTCCTTTGGGTTTATATTTGCTGGATGTTTAATCTTGCAAAACTTCTCGTGTAAGAACACCTTTTTGTGCATGCAACAAGTCATCCTTGCTATACAACTTGCAGTGTCTAATATGAAAAGTTAATTAAACATGCAGCATTTATGTAGGCTCTTGGGTTTTACAGAGGCATATAATCTCATTAAATTCCAACCTTCTAACTATTCTCAAATGATTTTTACAGAGACGCCTATTACTGAATATGAGTGTTCAAGGAATGAAGAAATAATGAAAAACAACCGAGAGCTGGAGAAGCTTGGTATCAAGACATTAGTGCCCATAGTGAACAATACATCTGTGGAGAGAAAGGGTGAAGACCATAAAGTTTCTGGATCGTTGTATACAGGTCAGGAGAGTGAGGACTGTGAAGATGAGGAGGTTAATAGCAACGTACCAAGTCTTCTAAGCTAACTGTATATTACTTAAACAAATGTTTCATGTACAGGAAAGGTGCTTGAAAAACCAACAAAATCGAGAGAACGTACGGTTACTGCATTGTACAGGATCTCGGTGTTACATTGCACAAGCCCATGTCGTGATAAGAAACTAAACAATCAATGATCAGTAATGGATATATATTGATTTTTGTATTAGCCTAATTGTTTGTATTTCTTTGCAAATAATTTAGAGACAAGAGAAATACAAAGATGTACAACCTACTGCTATTGATCTTTTCAAGGACTTCCACTGCAACAAGAACAAAGGATTCAGTGAGCTATCAAGAAAGCTATTGTGGGTGACTGATTCCCTTTTCTTCTCTGTTCCCATAGTTTTGCGTATATGTTGCAGATTGTTTTCTTCTTTGCTACATGACGTACATCTGAAAAAAATAAATTGCACACAAGATTTAAGTCTCTATTTTAATTTTTTGCTAGGCTGATATGGAAGCGATCATGGCTGAACCGGTACAAGATGAAGAGCAACCAAAGTAAGTGAACCATGCTGTTTCTCAAGTTGTGAAATCAACTACATTTCTTCAAGTTGCAGGAATTCAACCAAACCCCAACAATAGCTCTAAAGGTTGCACTTCCTCAAAGGTACAAGTGCATCAAGTCCCTACCATGTATGCTCTGAAGTTATTTTCTTTAAAGATTTGTGCTTCATCAAGACATAGACCAGATTTGTGCCTCATCAAGATATATACCTAGTTGTGATTTAAGAATAAATACCTAGTTGTTTAGTTTGATTCTACTAGTACCTAGCTGTCATACTCTTGCACATGAATTGTTGTCCCTTAGTTGGGCATTTGCATTTGACTTAAGAATAAATACCTAGTTATTCAGTTTAAATCAACTTGTACCTAGCTGTCCTGCACATGAAAGCAGTAAACTCAATTTGAACCTACTTATACTTAGTTATTCAGTTTGCACATAATAATGTCCAGTAAACGAATATTTTGCCTTGCTGCCTTAAGTGGTTATTACTTCTAAGAGAATAATAGATGATTTATTTGATAGTAAAGCCACCGACATATTTATGGTGTTTATGCACAGGTGCAACAACTTCGGGCTGATCTTGAAATTGAAAAAAAAATCAAAAGAAGACCTTAGGCATGAGTTCGAAGCCATGAAGAAAGAATCAGAAATGGCAATGGACACTTTAAAGAAAGAGTTAGAAATGGCAAGGGCAAAACAGACTGAGGAGATCGAAAAAATAAAAAAGGCATCACAAGAAACCATGTCCTTCCTTCGTCAAATGTTTGGTCCTAGGGATGGTTGAACTTGGTTTGGTTGCTGGTTGTTTGCCCCTAGTATTAGTAGCTCTAACTTTTAAACCATGCTGCTGGTTTCATTGTTTTGCGACCTCTAAGAAGTATTGTGCGGCCTTTAAACTTTGGAACTTGTGGCTGCTATAATTTTGGTTAGTGCATCATATGGTCTGTGAGATGTATTGTGGCATGTGAACAAAACTAGTATTGTGGTTTGTTGTTGTTGTCAGTGGATATGATCATTGAAACATGTATTGTATGACCTGCTACTGTAACTTTGGTTGGTGAGTTTGAACTTTAATTAATTAACTGTTCAATGATATGATCAATTTGTGGCCTACATTATATTATGTATTTGCTTATATTGATATGTGTATTATGTATTTGCTTATATTGATCTTGCCACGTGGCATCATGGCACTAAATAGTTAGCGACAATTCTTCCTAAAACAATGACAATAGCCATTGTCGCAAATTTAGTGACGAAGCAGTATTGTCGAAAGTTTAGCGACAAAAAAAACTTGTGTTCGTCACCAAAGGTGTTTAAACACATCAGATAGGCGACAAATGGGAATTCATCGCGCTCACGTCACCAAATCCGTAACTTGACGTAAATTTAGTATTCAACGACAATAGCTGATTGTCGTAGAAGGTCAAGTGTGTTGTAGTGGGAGAAAGTGTTTACAATGAGGAGATGCTAACGTGGAAAAAGACTTAACAACTAAGGAAATATGTCTATGGTTGTCCGGGTTTCGTGAAACTAAGCACATGAACAAATCGATTAATAAGAAGACAAAGCCACGGAACTTTAGTTGTTGTCGGTGTCTAGCCAAAATGGTAATTGCACTCAACAAGAAAATAGGACATTGGTTATGAAGGATTTCATTGACGAACACGACCATCGTCCATTTGCCTCAGCAGATTTAGCTTGTCTCTTGAAGTCTCGCAGAGAAAGCTAACATCATTAAGATAGAAATCATAGGGATTCATAAACACTTAGTCGCATACATGTTATATCAGAATTATGTATTCATCGAAGAGATGAAAATAGACTTTTGATGAACATACTGTAGTCCATCCGTTCCAAATTATAAGTCGTTTTGGGTTTTTGAGATACATCACTTTTGTTATGCATCGAGATATACACTATGTCAAAATATATATTAAAAAAGATATATATCTAGAAAAGCCAAATGACTTACAATTTGAAATATAAGGAGTAGTGTGTAACATTTGGATCTTTTTGGTGCTCTACTAACGAGGCAATTTTTTTTATTTTTGAATCTATCTTTGAGCTAGATAGGTAGTTTTCCATATTGTGAATTCTGACATGGAGTACAAGGCCATAGGATAGGAATGTGTGCACACTCACAGAAAATCGTAGCTACTCTATATATTCTCACCTTGTACGTCATCAACCTGCCGATTTCTTGGCGTGGCCACCCCGGTGCTATATCAGGAAAAACTTTGGTGGTAGAGGTACGTGTTAGTGGTAACCTGGATGGAGCGAGAGAAATATCTAATACTGTCAGTTGTCATTCCCCATGTCACATTCCACCCGAGAGACGATCGAACTTAGGGCACGTGTAGTTTCTATACTTATTAATTTTTATAGACAATGTACATAGAAACCATAATCATAATAAATAGTTTCTACGGATTTTTTTTTATTCAATTATATACATTCTCTTTCTATTATCTACCTATCGCATCCCTTCATCGTATAGACATGATTTTTAACTTAGACTCGGTTTCTATGATTTTTGCTCTCTCTCTTCAATAAATATCTTGCCACATCAACAAAACGTTTAGGGTAGTCCCAATAAAAGAAACTAGTAGTTTCTATAACATAGGATACCACACCAAAAAAGTACTGCTTTTCAACCCATGGTTTCTATGAGTAATAATTATTTTTTCTTTCTCTCTCCCAACTCTATCGTCTTCCTCCAATGGGAGTGCGGCACGAGCCCCCTAAAAACTAGTGGTTTCTCCCAAATGACGATTTCATGGTTTCTTGGTGCATTGGGTCAAGAGAAGACCTGGTTTATTCATGAGGAAACCATTTCCATGATTTTTGCTCTCTTTCTTCATTAACTACGTTGCCATGTCAGCATTTTACCTACGTGACAAGTCATTTAATGAGGATAAAAATCATTATCAATACACCATTGGGACTGCCCTTAAGTGACAGTATAATTAATGTCCATAAAAACTATGGTCTGCATTGGGAGTGCCCTTACCTTCTATAAATCCACAGCCATGGCGCGGTGTGGAGCGTAGCAAAACTCGTGCTGAGAGCCTGAGACAACACACAAGCTAGCACAAGACTAAAGTGCGTGACACCGCGAGGGGTTAAGCCAGCCATGGCAATCGCAAACGCCGAGAACACGTCGTCGCTGCTCCCGCTCGATGGCCGCGTCGCGCTCGTCACTGGCGGCTCGCGCGGCATCGGCCGCGAGGTGTCCTCCCAACTCGCCGCGCTCGGCGCCAGCATCGTGATCAACTACGCGTCCAACTCCAGCAAGGCTGACGAGCTCGTCGCGGAGCTGACCTCGCGCGGCCAGTGCGCCGTGGCCGTCTGCGCGGACGTGTTGGACCCGGACGCCGTGCGCGCGCTCTTAGACCGCGCCGAGGACGCGTTCCGGTCCCCGCCGCACGTTGTGGTCGCCAGCGCTGGCCTCCTGAACCCCAAGTACCCGGCGCTCGCGAACACGACGGTGGAGGACTTCGACGCCATGTTCGCGGTGAACGTGCGTGGGACGTTCCTCGTGTGCCGCGAGGCGGCCAGGCGTGTCCCGCCAAACAGCGGAGGCCGCATCGTGACGTTCTCGTCGTCCATCGTGGGCATGCTCCTGCCCCGGTACGCGGCGTACACGGCGACCAACGGCGCTGTAGAGGCGATGACGAGGATCCTGGCCAAGGAGGTGGCGGCCAAGGGGGTGACGGCGAACGTGGTGGCGCCAGGGCCCATGCGCACGGAGCTGTTCTTTGCCGGGAAAGACAAGGCGTTCGTGCGGAAGGTCGAGGAGCGGTCCATGGGCCGCATCGCCGAAACCACGGACGTGGCATCGGTCGTCAAGTTCCTAGTGAGCGACGCCGCGTCTTGGGTAAACGGCCAGGTCATCAGGGTCAATGGCGGCTTCGCCTAAGGGCGCTTCGTGTTCAGTAATCAGCACAGTTTCTTCAGTTGTAGATTTGTAGTCTTGTACATCTGAAAAGTCGAAATCAAAATTCAAATAACGTATGAGCGTATGCGAGGTTCTGCCTGGTGTGGTGCCTACCACGATCATGTATCCGTCTAGTTTTACACATGTATAATATACGATAAATAAGAAACTTGTTACCTTCCCATAGAATTATTTTCAGCCGTGTGATCTAAGAAGAATAAACTAAGGGGCTCGGTAGCCTGCCTTCTCCCATCACCGATTTGTTGACTGTTGTCGACTTCGGCCCATCTGATGTGTCACACAACTATCTTGGGAGGTACCAATTTGTGAAACTTGGAATGTAAATGGAACACTGTAATGGCAAGTGAACCAATAAATTCTTTCATTGATCTATGATGTATATTTATACACCCGTACGGACACCATGGGGAGATGCACGCAGGCAACCACCCATGGTGCCGACGGTTCGAACGAGAGTGGGAACGAGACGGGAGATGGGAGTGGGAGCGGTTCCCGTCATGGGAGCGCGGTCCACATGAGAGCAACTCCTTCGTAGTCATAACACCCCCCTTTGATCGAATCTATCTTGAGATCAATGAATAGTATTAATCCTTCAAAAAGTCCTGTAAGATAAAAACGAGGAGAAATACTTGATAGATATGATGTTAAAAACTCCTTCAAACCCAATGGAAAAATAAAGAGAAAGTGATACAACATATAATGATTATTACCTCATTGTAAACTTATATGAGAAAACCTCTACAGGAGAAAACTCATAGATAGTTTAGAGGACAATATGTCATTGGTATCTCCTAAAAAATCCCGCTGGGGAAAACAGGAAATACGACATATGCTTATGCTAATATTGTCTCATTAAAAACTTCATATGAGAAACCTTGAGAGCAAAACTCATACAAAGAAAAGAGTGCAATATGATGGTTTGGACAGGGCAACATCTAGGAGATTTCTCCCCCTGAACCTTGCAAATCTCAAAGTCGCCGCATACCAATTCCTTGAACACATTTCTAGAACGACGAAGCTGGTAAGGACGTAGTGAACAAATCAGCGAGGTTATCACATGATTTGGTTTGCAAGATGTCTATTTCACCCATTTGTTTTAACTCACGGGGATAAAACAACTTGGGAGAAATATGCTTGGTTATGTTGCTCTTAATGTAACATGTATCCATCTGTGTAACACAAGCAGAATTATCTTCATAGATAATGGTTGGCGAATCAATTCCACCAATACCACATGGCTGTTGTATGTGGTTGATCACTCTGCGAAGCCAAACACATTCACATGAGGCCTCATATATTGCAATTATTTCAGAGTGATTAATGGAGGTAGACACGAGAGTCTGTTTTGAAGACTTCCATGAAATAGTTGTCCCTCCGTGTAAGAACACAAAGCCTGTCTGGGATCGGCCATTATGGGGATCAGATAAATAGTCGGCATCAATGTATCCAATCATATTGGAGTATGGGTTCCTTTGAAAAAATAATCCAAGATCTCTGGTACCATTTACATATCTGAGGATATGTTTTACTCCTGTCCAATGACGTTTGGTAGGAGCAGCGCTATGTTGAGCTAGCAAGTTCACTGCAAATGCAATATCAGGCCTGGTGCAATTTGCAAGATACATGAGCGCTCCAATGACACTGAGATATGGGTAATGAGGTCCTAGAATCTCTTCTCCTTCATCCTATGGTCTGAATTGATCAGTCTTCAGCTCTAAAGACCGAACAACCATAGGAGTTTTGGAGGGATATGATTTGTCCATATTGAATTTCTCCAATACTTTCTGGATATAGACAAATTGATGCACTAAAATTCTAGTGGGAAGGTGCTCAAGTTGTAAACCTAAGCAAAATTTGGTTTGACCCAAATCCGTCATTTTGAACTCCGCCTTTAGATGATTGCGTGCTTCATCAATATCTTGTGGGTTGCCAATGATATTTAAATCATCAACATACAATGATATTATGCAAAATCCCGTTTGGGACTTTTTGATGAAGACACATGGACAATCACCATTGTTAGTGTATCCCTTCTGCAGAAGGAACTCACTAAGTCGGTTATACCACATTCTTCCCGGCTGCTTTAAGCCATAGAGTGACTTTTGAATCTTTACACAGTACATGTTGCGATTTGCGTTCTGATCCGGTATAGAGATTCCATCGGGAACCTTTATATATATATATATATATATATATATATATATATATCTCCCTCCGTACTGGTATTAGAAGTCGTTTAGGACATGATTACGCTTACCAAGGAGTGACTAATTAAGGGAAGTTTTCCTTTTTTACCCTTATTAAATAGGGCTGCGGGTGTCTCCAATACAACAACTCATCGTAGTCCAATTGGTAAGCATTCTGTGGTCCGGGACTGGTGGTCCAGTGTTCGTGGGATTTGCATGGCGGTGCATGCGGCTCGCTCGTTGCTTTGCTGCATGCTCGCTCGCTGCATGCGCTCGCATGGCGTTGTGCACGGTCGCGTTTAGGCATGTGTATGCACCCTCTGCCGTGTTTTTTTCCATTGGCGCTCGTTTGTTTGTTGGTGGATGCACTCTCTGCCGCGCTTTTTTTCCATTGGCGCTTGTTCGTTTGTTGGTGGGTTATTTTCCTTCGTTTGGCGCTCACCGTGCGCTCAGCAGGTCCGACGGTTCGATTACCGGGCTGCAGTACTAAATCGTCTCGTAGCTCTTGTACTCCGTACACTGGTCTATACTGCCTTGCCTTGCTTATTCTTCACTTGTTCATCTAGGCATGGCTTAGCCTCTTCTCTTTCTATCTTGTCCTTCCATAGCAAACCGTACGGCGCAATGGCTGATGTCCTCCATGGCTTCGATCTGAACGTTCGTATGGAGGAAGATGACGACGGCAATCTTTCCTTCAATCTCAACGAGCCTATACTAGAGGACCACAACAACAATGGTAACGTGCTGATTCTTACTCATTTTTTTCTTTCATGTTTTTATATTCACACCGTCTTCATGTTACTGCAAACGTTCCGGCATCAGAAGCCAACGACGAGCAACAAGACGTGTTCAATCTCAACGAGCAACAAGACATGTTCAATCTCAACGAGCCGGAAGATCACCACGGCGGTAATACATCACTTCGATCTATCCTTTCGTTGGTTGTTTAATTTTTTTTTGTTCTCATCATTGTTTCTTTTTTTTTACAGTACTTGATTTGAACTTACCACTCGATGAGTTCGGTGCAATTGATTTCGACTTTATACAAAATCTTGCTGGTAACTTTTTTTTATCACAATCACATTCATTTTAGTTAAGGCACGTGTACTTTGTTGATGCTATGGATACTTGCAGTAGCTACTAATAGATGAATTAGTTTGTATTTTATTCCTACAGCTAGAACATGGTGCCGGCAATTAATGTTTGCTTTTTTCAACAGAACATGTTCAACAACCCAACCGAAGGAAAGAAATGTTTGAAGAACTCCGAAAACAAGTTTATCAAGCTTTGTTGGCTAGAAGCAACAATGGGAAACTACACAAGAATGATACTGCAAGTGTTGCTGCGCAATTTGGGCTTCATATTCGGTCAGTTCAGCGGTTATGGAAGAGAGGTAAAATACAACTTGCAAACTCAGCTTCGGTAGTGGTTTGTAGTCTAAAGAAGGGTAAAGTAGGCCGCAAGGCAATCCTTGTTGATTTGGAAGCATTGCGAAACCTTCTCACTTGAAATCTTCTCGAGCTAAGTGGCCAAGAGAAGATGTGGGCAAACCAATATTCATTCAACAAGACAATGCACCTTCTCACTTGAAATTGGATGATCCGGAATTTTGTGAGGCCGCTAAGCTAGGAGGATTTGATATTTGCCTAATATGTCAACCACCAAACTCTCCGGATTTCAACATTCTTGACTTGGGTTTTTTTCGAGCTATACAAGCAATCCAATATAAGAAGAATGCAAAAACAATAGAGGCTCTAGTTCCGCTCGTGCAAGAGGTAATTTGCTCAAATTGTTCACACATATTTCAATGTTTTTTCCACAACACATTTGCTCATACAATCATTTCTTGCACACTTGTTTTGTAGGCATTCATGGAGTACTCCACACACAAAGCAAACCGAATATTTCTAACACTACAAGGTGTTTTGATGGAAGCTATGAAGAAGAAAGGTTGCAACAACTTCAAGATACCTCACATGAAAAAAGGAAGATTGGAAAGAGAAGGTCGGCTGCCATCTTGTATCCCTTGTGATCCATCTTTGCTGCATGAAGCCGAGGCTACTCTTGCTGCATGAAAATTAGATGGATGCTTGTTAGCTTAAGTAGTAGAGACAATCTTGTAACAATTTGAACTAGTCATCTTATAGAGGCCTTGTTATCATCCTTACTGGCATCGAGCTCATCGAGCTTCTTGATAACGTGAGGAGGTAACATGATTCTATCGCCATGCATCACGTGCTCGTCAAGATTAGGAATGAAAAGGTTGCAATCGAACTCTCGCTGGCCATAAATCATGGCAAGGACCATGTACTCTAAGTGGACGAGGCCGCAACGAGAGCATGGCCACGACCTTGAGTGCGCACGATCCCATGCTTGGTGGTCCTCATGGACGAGACCGCAGCGACCGCAAACAAAAGCTCCTGGCGGCAAGGAATCTGGCACCATCTCCACGGAGTCCTGCGCGATCACGGAGTCCAGTCCATCGACGGACAGCAGCGGATTGATGGAGTCCGACACCTCGATGACATCCACGGTGACCTCCACCGAGTACGGCGCGACTACATCCACGGCGACCTCCACCAAGTCCGGCTCCAGCGATTCCGACGTGCTGATGTCTGGCACCATCTCCATCTCCTGCTCGACGCCGTCTTCCATCATCATCTCCATGGAGTTCGGTGCGAGCTCCATCTCCTGCTCGACGCCATCTTCCGTCGTCATCTTCATGGAGTCCGGCGCCGACGTCGACGCCGACATCGAGTCCGCCGAGGATGCATC